TGGCCCAACGTGCTTGCTCTGCTCATGTCTGCCTTACAACATTTCTACTTTCACCAAGCAAACAGCCGATGAACCCTAGCTAACTTTGGCCTCCCTTCTGTTAGGCCTCTCAGCCCTTTCACACCCCATCTCTCCCTTCCCCTACACCCTCTTCCTCCCCTTTCTCTTGAAGGGATCCAGGGCTTTGGGCCGCTCCACAGAGTTAAGCACTTGGGTATCATAAATACGGTAAACACCACAGGGAGGGTTTAACTCTGAAGGGCGGGTGAGGGGAACCTAAGGAATGAATGGGAGCGAACTAGCAGCGCAAGCCCCGCCCCGCGACGCTCCCCGCCCCCTTCCCTCCCGCTTCCAGGCACTTAATCGCGTTTTCCCGGCTGAACTCTCGTGAGATCTGTGACTTGCCCCGGAAGACCCGCCCCCAGCCCGTGGAGGCCAATGGGAAGAAGTGACGGTTACGACCGTTGGGCTTCAAAGAAGCCAATGAGTGCCGGGAGCGGAGAGTTTAAGACGCCTAGGCCTGCGCTCCTAGGAAAGTCGGTCCGGGGATCGCGACCTGCCCGGAGCTGACGGTGAGCGGCGGCCGGGCTCTGCGGAGAGGTGCGGCCCCGGCCTTTGCGAGCTCCGGTCGTTTGTCTTCCTCCAGGGCTCGGCGGGCACCTCTCCCCTCAGGGGTCCGCTCCCCTCCGGACGCTTCGCCCCGATGGCGCAGTTCGTGTTCGACAGCGACCTGCACGCCCTGCTGCAGCTGGACACACCCATCCCCAATGCGCCCCCCGCGCGCTGGCAGCGCAAAGCTAAGGAGGCCGCGGGGCCCGCCCCGTCACCCATGAGGGCGGCCAATCGGTCCCACACCGCCGGCCGGACCCCGGGCCGGACTCCGGGTCAGTGGGTGCGGCGGGACGCGGGGCGGGAGAACGCCTTGCTGACAGCATCCTGCATGTCTCTCCTCCTCCCTCGGGGGCCTCGTCGGACTGTCTGCTTCCCTCTCCCCACCCTAGGCAAATCCAGCTCCAAGATTCAGACCACTCCCAGCAAACCTGGCGGGGACCGCTATATCCCCCACCGCAGTGCTACCCAGATGGAGGTGGCCAGCTTCCTCCTGAGTAAGGAGAACCATTCCGAAAATAGCCAGACGCCCACCAAGAAGGTAGGTGCCCCCGAGGGGCTTGAGGCCAAGGGACCCGTCTGTGTGTTTTGCATAATGCCATCCTGCCTCACTCACTCCCCACCGCCCTTCTGTGCCAGGAACATCAGAAAGCCTGGGCTTTGAACCTGAACGGTTTTGACGTGGAGGAAGCCAAGATCCTTCGGCTCAGTGGGAAACCACAAAAAGTTCCAGAGGGTAAGTCCTGAAGTTCATGGGTTTACCCACCCAAGACTGAGGGGAGAAAGGAGAGTGCTACCTGGCCTTCCAGGTTAGCGCCAGGGGGAGGCTTCGGGTCTCGCAGTGTCTAATCTCCCTCCTCTGGGACAGGTTACGAGAACAGACTGAAAGTCCTCTACAGCCAGAAGGCCACGGCCACGCCTGGCTCCAGCAAGAGGACCTGCCGTTACATCCCTTCCCTGCCGGACCGGATCCTGGATGCCCCTGAAATCCGTAATGACTACTGTAAGTGCAGCCTGTTCCTGGCCGGGTGGGTGGGGAGAGAGTGCCTGGGGGCCAGACAAACAAGCATATGTTCTCTTTGTCCCTCTGGCAGACCTCAACCTGGTGGATTGGAGCTCGGGGAATATACTGGCTGTGGCATTGGACAACAGCGTGTACTTGTGGAGCGCAGGCACTGGCGACATCCTGCAGCTGCTGCAGATGGAGCAGCCGGGAGAATATGTGTCTTCTGTGTCCTGGATCAAAGAGGGCAACTACCTGGCTGTGGGCACCAGCAGTGCTGAGGTGCAGGTGAGACTTGTCCCTGGGCTGCAGCTCTGTTGTTCCCCAGGCCCCGGGAGCTTGCCCAGGAGGAGGTTATGCCAAGGCCCAGTCTGATTGTTGTGATTCATTCTCATTCTCATTCTCTCTCTCTCTCTCTCTCTCTCTCTCTCTCTCTCTCTCTCTCTCTCTCTCTCTCTCTCTAGTTATGGGATGTGCAGCAGCAGAAGCGGCTTCGGAACATGACCAGTCATTCTGCCCGAGTGGGCTCCCTGTCTTGGAATAGCTATATACTGTCCAGGTCAGTGGTTTTTGTTAGTCTGTTACAAAATCAGGCTATGGTTTTTGTCCTCCCCCAACAGTACACCCCTGAAGTGAAGCAGCTCTGCCCTACTGGTGGCATTTGGCGCTGCCACAGGACCCGATTCCCATCTTCCTTCTTGCAGTGGCTCACGCTCTGGTCACATCCATCACCATGATGTTCGGGTAGCAGAACACCACGTGGCCACACTGAGTGGTCACAGCCAGGAAGTGTGTGGGCTGCGCTGGTCCCCAGATGGACGACACTTGGCCAGTGGTGGCAATGATAACTTGGTCAACGTGTGGCCTAGCGCTGCTCTAGAGGCCGGCTGGGTTCCCCTGCAGACATTCACCCAGCATCAGGGGGCTGTCAAGGTAAGAGGGGCTCGGCTGGGGCCTCTGCGGACCCTCCCCAGAACCTGGGGAATATTAAGGGGAGATGGGATGCTGGGATTGGACTGGTTAGTCTAGGACCCTCTAGAACTCCTTGGGTTACCTGCTGACTCCACTTTTGTCCCATCTAGGCTGTAGCTTGGTGTCCCTGGCAGTCCAATATACTGGCAACTGGAGGGGGCACCAGTGATCGGCACATTCGCATCTGGAACGTCTGCTCTGGGGCCTGTCTGAATGCTGTGGATGCCCACTCCCAGGTAGTCTTTTACCTGTTCTAGTCTCTCACTCCTAAATACATTCTTACTCTTTATTTCTTCCTGGGCAACCATGTTTCCTAAGTCTGTACCATGATGATTTCCAAACTTCTAAGTCAGCTCTCACTCAGGAGCTCCAGAACCATATTTCCAACTCTCTGTGGCCCATCTCCTACCTCATGTCCTATAGGTGGCACCAGCCTAATAGGCTCCTAATTAAACTTGTTACTTCCCCTTGCCTCCCTAAAATGTGTCCCTCCTCCTCCGCTTATATTCTTTGAGAGGACAAAACCTACTTAGAAATCTGAAAAACAACAACAACAACAAAACCTAGAATCTTTCATCCTCCTCACCTAATCAACAAGATAATTTTACCCCAAAATGTCATTCACAAGTATTTTCTCTCCTCAAGTACACTGGTCTCAGTATTCTTAGCTCCTCTAGTCCCCTCTGCTGGGGTCTGGGTGTATGTTACTGTCCTCCTTAAATCCTGCAGTGGTTCCCCATCACCTACAGCATATATCCCAAATCCATTAGAATTTGATGACCTTGCTGGTGAGTCTCCAGCTTCTCCTTCCATTCAACACCCACTCTGCCCACCTTCATTCTAGATTTGGGCCTTTGAGCCAAAGTTCAAATTCTGGCTCTCTCACCTACTAATTTAACTTGCTTGTGATCTTGAGCAACTTGCTGAACTTCCTTCTGCACTTTTCCTCATCTGTAAATGAATAACGGTTATAATTCTCAAAAGGCTTTTGTTAGGATCATGGTCACTCTAGTCTGAGTGATCTGGCAGTGTTCCTAACACTATGTTGAAGCTACAACATCCTCTCCCCACAGGTGTGCTCTATCCTCTGGTCTTCCCACTACAAGGAACTTATCTCAGGTCATGGCTTTGCCCAGAACCAGCTGGTTATTTGGAAGTACCCAACCATGGTCAAGGTGGCTGAGCTCAAAGGTATGTGATAAATGACAGAAGCCAGACACAAAAGACTATACATTGTATGATTATTTATATGGACTATCCAGAAGAGGGATAAAACAGATTAATGGTTACCAGGGGCTGGAGGGAAAGGGAGTGAGAAAATGGTCTGGAATTATAGTTGTGATGATTACACAACTCTATGACTATACTAAAAACTAATGAATTGACACTTTAAAAGAATAAATCATTCAAAGCTGTTACAAAAAAAGAAATCAAAAAAAGGGTAGATTGCCCCTAAAATTGGAGAGTTGTAAGTCTACATTCATGTGCTGCTCTGACTTTTTCCTTTCTCATGCCCAGGTCACACAGCCCGGGTCCTAAGTTTGGCCATGAGTCCAGATGGGGCCACCGTAGCGTCAGCAGCAGCAGACGAGACCCTACGCATGTGGCGCTGCTTTGAGTTGGACCCTGCACGGCGGCGGGAGCGGGAAAAGGCTAATGCACCCAAAAGCAGCCTCATCCATCAAGGCATCCGTTGAGGACCAACTGTCATCACTTCAGTTTTTATGTTTGCTTTTTTTATTTTTCTAATAAAGTTATGTCTCTCTTCTTGCATGACCTCTATCTCAGTGGCTTTCTCAAGAGGCTCCTCTCCTGTTGGAGAGCTAGAAATGTCTGTCCTGTGGGAGCCTTGACCATCTGTCCTGTTCGTAGACAGGGCCAGCAGGCTTTGTACCCTTCCTCCTCATTTACACACATGCGCACACACAGCCTCAGTAGTTTCCTGTCACTTTTAATGAAGACACGAGTGAGCAGCCTCCACAGGCTGTATTCCCAGGCCTCCCACCCACTCTGACCTCTGGGTGGGAAGGAGGGAGCCTGGGTCCGTAGTGACAGATTATTGCTGACCTCTTCAGTGTGAGGAAAAAGGCCACAAGACCCTGGTGGGGGCCAGTCCTGAGTGCTCCTCTCCCAAGTTTAAGGCAGGGAGGGGGAAGTAAGCGTCCAGCCCTTTCAGCCCCCAGCTCGAGTGGCAGAGGGCAATGAGGCCATGTCCCTGGGGCTGGCTGGGACAAGTGGGTGAGGAACGGAAGCTGTGGTCCCTGTGTACCAGCTGTGGGGAGGGGAAGGCTCGTCCCCTGCTCAGTCCTGACCACATAAGCCCTGGTCACAGGTGTGGTTGGGGAGGACAATGACGGATGCTGCCCAAGGTGCAGTCCTGAGGCACTTAGGTGGGCGCCTAGCAAGAGCATGTTTCTCAGTTGGCCTTGACTTTGGCAGTACCTGGAGCTCCGTTTTGCTGAACCACACGGGGCAGCCGTTTGCCTTTGGTGTAAGAATGATACCAGAAGTTGGAGAAGAGTACGAAGAAGATGGTGCCGTACATCCAGATGAGGTGGATGATGACTGGGTACTGGTAGTTACAGCTGGGCATGAAGTAGTACTGGGAGATGTGCAGCGAGACCAGGACAAACTGGATCTAGGATAGAGAAAGGCAAGGGTCAGAGGTTATACTGAGAGGGCTGGAGGGAAAGGGGGTAGAGACAGACTGGACATTGAGTGGGAGGATAGTGTCAAAGGTGAGTGGATAAAGGAAGGATCCAGACTAGAGTATTGGGATGGTTATAGGCCAGGTCCAGGCCCCTCACCAGCTGGATGGCTGTCATGTGCTTTTTCCACCAAAGGTAGGGCTGAGCCACAGGGCCAAGGGCAGACAATCCATAGTACAGGTACATGACGACATGCACAGAGGAGTTTACCATGGCATGGAAAGAGCCCATTCCTCCTGTGAGTGGACAATGAACAGTCAGGAGAGCCTCTAATCCCCAGTGCCTGCCCCTTTTTCCCCCCAACGGCCTTCACCACTCACCTGGGGCAATTTTCACTCCCCACCACCAGCTCCAGGGAAGCACTGAGTGGTGGAAGACATGTAGGAAGGTCACCTGTCCATCTTTTTTCCGGAGAATAAAGATCACCTGAGAATAGTAGGGAAAGGAGTTTCAGAGTCAGGGCCTCTCACTCCTTTCTCCCCTCCCCCACCCCAAGTTCTCCCAGTTCATATACTCTCACCGTGTCCATGAGCTCAATGAACTTGGAGAAGAGGAAGAGCCAGGCCACTCGAACCATCTGCAAGAAGTCAGGGCAGCCTTAGGACTCCGCCCCTTAGGACGACTAGAGCCTTCCTAAGCTGGCCCAGGAGCACAGGTCACGCCCAAATTGCTCCTATCCCCAGCTTGTTTACAACACAGGCACCCCCGCCCCCCGCCCCCCACCCCCACCTCACTCCTACTTACCCTCAGAGCCTCTGGGTTGTTGGAAAAGTCCACAGGGTCGCAGCGCCAGGTGTAGCTGCTCAGCCAGCCAGACATCAGGAACTAGAAATGGGATGTGGATTAGACCACCAGAATGCCCTCCCTCTCCCCAACCCCTCCCGTTTGCTAGTTGAAAAAAATGGATCTGAGCCTTTCTGGAAAGGAGATGCATGCTGTGGCTCCAAGGCCTTATCCTGCCAGCAGTAATCGAAGCCTAGGCACCCCAGGGTCCCACCTCATAAACAATGTAGAGGGAGAGTGCCACCAATGAGAAGTTGTAGACAACCATGAAACCACGCAGTTGGAAGGGCTTCCGATTGGCCATGATTCGAGGCCCAAGTGAGAGAACGAAGTACACATAAGTCAGGAGAATGGAGGTCATTAGCAAGGGGGACCCCATCAAAGGGTAGCCCTGTATCCGGGGATCTGCAAATAAGGATCAGAGGAGTCAGGAAGTGCCACAGGGTTCAAAGGGTCCCCATCAGGTCATGTACAGACATGAGGTCAGGTCACCAAGGGTCAAAGGGGTGGGTAGGGACTTCCCATTAGGTGACAGTCCTAGATCCAGAGATCTCGGGACCGGAGGGAGGTAGGGCAGGTGGACAGCATCTTACCTCCATGCTTCATCATGGTCTGGTACACGTTCACAAGAGCCTCCATCCTAGTTAACGACTCTGGGGAGGCATGGAGGGCGGATGTCAGCCAGGGTTGTGTTCTCCCATCTTACCCCTGACCCACAGACAGGACAGAGACCAGACAACTCCCGATACCTCATTGCAAAAGGATATACCAGAGAGAGGAAGGAATTGCTGGGGATTAGGGGTAGGAGGAGACAGTTTGGCGGGGGCACCTGCTTCCCACACATCCTGCCCGCCTGGGGAGGGCTGTTCCACCCTTCCTTCCCTCCCTGCACTCTGCTCTTCTCTGGAGATTTTTACTTCATGACCTCCCATCCCCTCTTCCTCCAGCAGAAAACTCTCAAATTAGATCCCTTTCTAGAAAGTCTTAGCTCTCACTGACAGGGAATCCATCTCCCGAATGAACTGCCTCTCCTTTCCTCACCAAAGTCTCTCGTCTCTCCAGCTCTGGGTCTTGCTTCTCTCCAGGGATCCTCCCCCTTCAACCTCTCTGGCGCGTATCGGGATGCTCTTCTCCTGGGATTGTCCTTTCCAGGACTCTCCTCTCCCGAGGATCCCTCCTTTCCCCAGCCGGGACTCTCACTTCCCAGCCCTTCCGGCCAATCCTGTCCCTCCTTGGCGGTCCCTCTGGTCCTGGTGCCTTCCGAGACTCTCCTCCCAACCCCTCTTGTCCCTTCCTCCTCTCCCCTGCCGAGACATTCCCAGGCTCCTCTGGGCCCTCCTGAGCTCTCACCTCCAGCCTCTCAGCTCCTCTCCAGTGCTCTCCTCCTGCCCTTCCTCTCTGGGAGCCTGGCTCTTTGAGTCTCCTGCCCCGGCAGCTCCACCTGTCTGACTAGATCTGGCAGCAGCCCCGCCCTCCACCCACCCCCGCTGCACCGCACATGGGGTGGAGGGTGGGTCCAGGCCACAGGTCAGTGCCTGGAGGAGCAGGACCCACGAGGATTGAGAAAGCCAAGTAAAGCTGAGACTCACTGTCCACCCACCCTCCCCAGATCAGCCAGATGGTCCAAGGTTCTAGGTTTTGAGCCACAAGCCTGCAGAGGCTCCAGGCCCAGCCCAAACCTTGGAGCAAAGAGAACTGCAGAAAACCCACACCCTGGGATCTGCTAAACTAGCCATAAATTCTCTCAGTTTGTCCTACTTTTAAATGGGTCCAATCGCCCTTCTCTCCCAGGGAGGGGCAGGGAAGTGGCATGTGAGGAGGTGGGGACGTGGGGGAGGTCTCAGGAATCTTCCCCTCCCTCAGGGAGGAGTCTAACGATCAGGCCCTCTCCCCGTCAGGACCTCAAGGAATGAGGGAGGAGGGCTCACCCGGAAACAAAAGCCAGACCCAGGGGAGCCTGGGGCTCTGAGGAAGTCCCAGAGGGACAATCCAGTCCCTAAACTGCCCGGGGAAGCACAGCTACCTGTGCAGGTACTAAGTGAAGAACTCACCTTCTGATGCATCCACCAAGGCTGCGCATGCACCACACACACACACACACACACACACACACACACACACACACTCACATCCCACAGGTGCTCCCTCAGCCTCCATGTCAACCCCCAACTGCCCCACCACGGTCAGGCCCGCGTCCTTCCGTACACACATGGCCTCAGACACACCTGCCTCTCACACAGCTCTCCCCTCACCCACCCCATGACCAACTCACCAGTGGCTAGCACCCATGGAGCCCACACAACTCCTGCGGGCATACCTGCCCTCCTCTGACACACCACCCAAACAAGCCTCCGTGGACTCTGACATGCATAGTTTCTAACACTCAGACCTGCTCCAAAAATACATCCACACTAGTGAACACACCCAAAACACTCCCAAAACACTCACACATCCTCCCTCCTGGGTCCTGCATTACCATGTGCTTATGGTAATACAAATGCTTAGGCTCATGCCTACGTGAGTCACAGATAAATGTGGCCACACACATAAGCTCACGCAGCCCACTTAGCAGGGGAAGGAATATAAAATCACCCGTACCACATGTTGACACACACCTGTCCTTGGCCAAGCACACAGATCTCTTTTCACGGATGACATTCATTCATTCATTTATTCATTCATTCACAGTCGTATTTTCATCGGTTGCTTGTTCTGTGGGAGGGCTTACCAGGAGAGGGGTAACATGTGCTCTAACACACAGTTCCTTCCCGGCCCAGGAGTTTGCCAGCTCTTATCTCTCTCAACCACCACACTCGCAAGCACCCTGGAGGTCAGGAGTGGCTCAAGGTTCTGGAAAGGACCTCTCCCCATGCTAGAAAGAATCTGGGTGTGTCCCCCGTAGGGGAACTCGGTCCTTCCTTTTAAGATGGATGGAAGGGAAAAGAAAAACAGGCAGAGGAAGGGGGGAGGGGAAAAGAGGAGGGAAAGGAAGGGAAGGGAGGAGGGAAGGGACGAGAGGGAAGAGGGATAAGACCTGGAGGTGGTGGAGGAAGGCTTAGGTTTGAGTAAATGGGGTCCACGCACGGGAGGGAGGTTGCAGGAGAGGCCCAGCCCCAGAGAGCTGGGACCTCCCACTCACTCTCCCCAGGAACAGCCTCGCCCACAGCCAGGGCAGGGCAGGGCAGGGCTGGGCCGGGCGAACCACGCAGGGGACCCCGGGCACGTGGGATCGCCCGCCCAGGAAAAGATCAGACTCACCGGTGGGGGACCAGGCAGGCAGCAGCAGAGGGCTCGGAGGGAGCAGGGCCAGAGAGAAGTCCCCAGGGCCAGCCTGCCTGCCACTTCCTCATCTGCTGGGCCGACTTTCTGTCACCAGAGGGGGAGGGGGCGGGCCGGGTGGGGGGCGCCTGCTGATTGGGTCTCCGGCTGAGGCAGGAGGGGCCGTCCAGCCTCAACTGGGCTCGGCCCGCAGGGCGGGAGCAGGGGCGGGCCGCCCGATCCCGGGCAGGAAGCACGCCCAGCCCCGACTCCCCACCCCTTCCCTCGGCATCACTCAGCCCGCCGCTGTCAGCTCGCGCGCGCGCGGCCTGGCTGGGGCCGCCAGAGTGGAACCCTGCTTCTTCCTGACATTCGGCCCATGAATGGCCTTATTCTGGGCCTCCTGGTGATGAATCCACCAACACATCTGTGTGGGCGGGCAGGCCCACCCAGCTTAGGATCCTGGGAGAAGTTCCAGGGCCCAGCCCTTCCTCAAAGAGCCCCCCCTCTAGAGAGGGAGCCCTGAGCGGCGGCGAGCCACAGCAGCAGGGAGGCCTCTGTAGGTGGGAGCCACTGGGCATGCAAGCCTTGCCTCCTGGCCCACAGGTCTGGATGAGCCCTAGCCTTAGGAGGCGCTGAGAGTAGGTCGTGGCATGGAGGTGGGGAAATACAAGTGGCTGGGGTACAGCCGCTCTGCCCTGTACAGACCCGGTGGCAGGTGGAGTGGTCTGGAATGCATCGAGTGAAACCCTTGCTACATGCTAGGCACATGTGTGCTCTGTCTCTCTGTGTTGGTATATTTATTTAAGAAAGCACTAAACTGTAATAAAATATTTAATTTGCTTTTTATTTAAACACGCATACACACTCAAGTGGCCTGGGGCAGGAACAGGGAGTGAGTCACTGGCTAGCGACACTGGCCTTCCAGGCGGTGAAAGGGACAGAAGGAAAGTGAAGCCGGCTGTGGCTGAATGTAGTAGATCTTGAAGGTCGAACTGGGCACTCTGACTTTATTCTGGAAGCAGCGGAGTAACAGTGAAGATTTTTGAGGAGGCTGTAATCAGGCTTGTATTATCAGACAATTCATCAAATATTTATTGACAACTGCCATCTGCAAGGCGCTGGTGACACATCCGTGAAAAAGGCAGAGCGCCCCTGCAGGGGGGTTACCATCCAGTTGAATCACTTCACTCTGGCAGCCAGTACGAAGAGGGCATTGGAGAGACCAGTGAGTGATACAGCCTGACCTCAGATCTGGAAATTGATGAGAATGAAGAGCCAGACACTGGGGAGACTTCCCAGAGTCAGCTGTCTATCCAGCTTTCCTTCTTCCACACTCATCAACTGGACTGAATTCTTGGGGGTGAGGACTAGGTTTTAGTGAAATGAAATCTTTATCTTCAGTAGCTCCTGGAATAGTGCTTTGCATATAATGATCTAATAACTGCTAATAGGACGGTGCAGATGCAGATAGAATAAGGAATTCAGAGAGACAGTGGTTTGGAAGAAATAATATGTTCTTAATGGTTGGATGTGGCTATATGGAAGTTCAGTCTTAGAGGTAAGAGGTCAGAGCCAAAGTATACCTATGACCCAGCCCATGAGTACCTGCCCTTAACAGGAAATGGCAGAAGAAGTCAATAATTCAAAAGTCTCAAACTTCAAATTGTACATGAAGGCATACCTGATCTGGCTCTCAGTCTCCCGTTCTACCTGTGCCATTATCCTGGACCACATCCTATGATTTAACCATTCCCCAAAGATGTCAGCATCTTTCATACTCTCCACTTCTCCAAGCCCTGTCCCGTGGCTCAACACAAGATACAAGCAGCTCTCCTCGGCAATAAATCGTTCCCTCCCCCTTTCTCATAAGCCCAATGTAATTATTTGTATCACCCTTCCCCCAAGTTCTTCTCAGCAGGAGCTATGCTTTAGTTGTCTATCTTCAGCATCTGGTCCAGCACCTGGCTCATTTGACCCTTCATGTTTGTTGAGTGAATATTAGAGTGAATAAAACAATATGGAAAAGGGAAAGGAGGTCAAGAAACCAAGAGTCAAGGAGAGAAGGATAGTAAGAATTCAAAAGCCTTTCTACTTCCCTTGGAGTAGCAGTATTCACGAGTCAATAAATATTTATCGAAAGCCTAATGTGTTCCAGGTATACTTTAGTGGCTCGGGGTCAAAACTGACTCCAAAGGCCTGAGTTAAATACTTCCAGTTAGTACCATGTGACCTTCTGTAAGCTGCTGACTCTCTATAAATGGGAACAACACAGTACCTAAAGAGCCTCGTCAGGGTGGCTCAGTGGTTGAGCATTGACCTATGAACCAGAAGATTATAGTTCGATTCTCAGCCAGAGTATATGTCTGGATTGCAGGCTC